TTAGATTTAAATGAACATGAACATTTCAAAAATTGAGTTTTCTTTTGAAAAAATTTTGGTTGCTACTTCTGAATTGTGGTCATTATAAGATTCATTTTAAAATAAGTAAACCATCTGTCATGGATTGAATTGTGTCCCCCAGAAATATCTGTCAACTTGGCTGGGTCATGATTCCCATTATTGTATGATTGTGTACCATTTTGTAATCTGATGTGATTTACCTATGTGTTGTAAACTCTATCACTATGATTTAATAAGATAGATTAGCAGTAGTTATACTGATGAGGTCTACAAGATTAGGTAGTGTCTTAAGCCAATCTCTTCTGAGATATAAAAGAGAGCAGTGAGCAGAGAGACATGGGAACCTCGTACCACCAAGAAAACAGTGCTGCAAGCAGAGCGTGTCCTTTGGACCTGAGGTTCCTGCACAGGGAAGCTCCCAGACCAAGGGAAAACTGAGGACACGGACCTTCCTCCAGAGCCAAGAGAGAAAGCATTCCCCTGGAGCTGACGCCCTGAATTTGAACTTGTAGCCTACAGGACTGTGAGAGAATAAACTTCTGTTTGTTAAAGCCATCCACGTGTGGTATGTCTGTTATACCAGCAGTAGATGACTAAGACACCATCTTTACTAGTTTTTGAAATGGGTTGTAAAGAAAGATGTAGCAATAAAGTATGTCTTATTTTTAAGTTAAAAAAATTTACTGTAAAATACCTGCATTTTTAATACAGAGGACACAGTAATTGGAGAGAGTGAAGTATTTTAATACTAAATTTTTAATTTAAACTAGAAAAATTGTTAAAAACTTAAATTTTTCAATAATTACATATGGAATTCAGATTAATCATGACATTATTGCAAGTCCAGGTAGTATTTTTACGAGGGTTCAGGTTCCAGTTCAAATTTCATTAATATAAATGAGTGCGTATCATGTACCAATCACAGTATAAAATACTTCCCTCATGTATATAATTAACCCTCAAAACAATTCTAAGAAGCAAATATAATATTCGATTTTGCAGTTAGTAATCTGAGGCTCTTATAATCGCTCGAGATGGGAATCGTGGCTATTAAATTACAGAGCAAGGACTAGAAGCACAAGTTTTGATTCCCAGTATACAATAGTTTTCAGTAATGACTAACGTCTATTTTGATGAAACTATAAACGAAAGTATATTGGGGAGCAACTTTGGTAAACTTCTAACTTTCTATCTTCAACACTTCCGTGCAGATGCCACTAGCATTGTGAACTAAAATGAATAAATTTAATACCAACATAAGACTTGTAAGCCACACTGGTATAAGCATCTGAAAAGACTAACTGCTAAATGCAATTTTTTTCTAGGATATATTTCAGATTATATTATTTTATTCACCAAGATACTGCAAATTATTTTGCAATATTTGATTTCTCTACATTATGAGCAAAATGTTATTCTAATTCTTAAAATAAAGTAGCACTTTGCTTTTTAAACAGTTTTATATAATCCTGATGTATTCCTGAATAAATATTCAATTTAAAATTTTCCAAACATATTTCTTGAGTGTGACCATATGCCAAGCACTCTATTAGACACTTCTGAATGTATAAAAATAAGTGAAACTACACTGAGGATATTTTCTTGGGTCACAAGATGAGGCTGTTTGAGGTTTTGCAAAGCATTGCTGCTGTAGGATGGAGATCTAACCAGAAGTCAGGCAATCCTAGGAGATATTGGAGCTCCAGCCCAGCCCAGCCCAGCCAGAGTGGAGAGACATTGATGATCTCCTTGAGTATTCAAGTAAAACCCCAGAGGAACTTCTAATGTGTGTGTCATACGTTAAGTCTAAGGACAAATGCACAATAGACCCACCTTAATAAAGTATGGAAAAACCCTGGTGGCATAGTGGTTAAGTGCTACGGCTATTAACCAAAAGGTTGGCAGTTCGAATCCACCAGGTGCTCCTTGGAAACTATGGGCATCTCTACTCTGTCCTATAGGGTCACTATGAGTCGGAATTGATTCGACGGCAATGGGTTTGTTCTGGTTTTTAATAAAGTATAAAATGAAGTCTGACGGAATAAAATACATCTCCTAGTTAGTTGACTGCATGTCTAAACAACTCAAAACACTTAAAAGGAATACTAAATAATCTAGATTCTTCTGAAAATAAAATTATGATGTTCAACATAAAATCCAAAATTACCATACACACAAGCCAAGTAGAACATTGTGTCCCTTAATCAAGAGAAAAAGTAATCCATAGAAAAACAAACGTAAGTCAGAGGTAGAATTAACAAACATGAATTTTAAACTGCTATTATAAATATTTTAATGACTTAATGGCAAAGATAGGCATAATGAATAAACATATACGGAATCACAATGCAACAATTGAAACTAAAAAAGAACCGAACGGGAAATTTTATAAGCATAATGGCTTATAATTAACAGGATGGGCTTTGTAGCAGATAGGGCAAATGCAACAGTAATGTTCAGTAAACCTGAAATCAAATCAATAATTACCCAAACTGAAGTAATAGAATCGAAAATACTGATATAAATAAATAGTGCTTCAGTGACCTGTGAGATGTGTTTGCCCAAATTTGGAGAAATTCCAGTCATTTTTTCTGCCTTATTATCTTGTTTTTCCTCCTTACAGGACTCAAAATATGTATATAATTTTCCTTTTATTCTGTAAATTTATTTAAAAGACGTATTACTGTTTAGAGCAAAAAAAAATCCTCAATCCTATAAAGGACACCTATGAAAAGACACAGGCAACATCATACTTAATGGAGAAAGATTGAATACTTTTCCCTTAAGATCAGGAACAATACAATGATGTCTGCTCTTGTCACTTCTATTCAACATTGTACTGGTGCATACTACAACATGGATGAACCTTGAAAACATGCTATGTGAAAAAAGCCATTCACAAAAGATCACATATTATAGGATTCCATTTATATGAAATGTCCAGAATAGTTAAATCTACAGAGACAGAAATCAGATTAGGGGTTGCCTTGGGCTGGGGTTGGAGATGGGAATGAGGAATGACTAATGGGCACAGGATTTCTTTTTAGGGTAGTATAAATATTCTAAAATTAGATTCTATTGATGGCTGGACAACTGTGGATAAACTAAAGACAACTGTATACTTCAAGGGGTAAATTTCCTGGTATGTGAACTAAATGTCAATAAAGCTGTTAAAAAAAAAAAAAACTCATAAATTATAGATCTGCCATATTAGTAAAGATTTAAAAACCTAGCAGTCTGGAACATATCAAGACATCTCCTCTAAGGTAACAGACAATTATACATTGCACCCCAAATAAAGAACAAGTTAATTGCACCTCGCATCTTTTCTCTAAGAAAGTGGCACAGGGCTTAGTAGCCCCCTCATTTATTTGAGATACCACATACCACACTTTGGAATACTGCTCAGATCCATTGATTAGGTGACTTGGAAGAATGCCAGTTTTGAACTGGGTCCAGAGCAAGAGAGGGTTTTGTAGCAATTTCAGGCTGCTGCTTGGACCAGATTACCTGGTAGATTCTATTTTGCTAGAGGTATTCATGGTAAATAAGGCCTCTGGGAATGAGACACATACACCCACAGCTTCAACTATTCAGTGGGTGCTATGTTCATCTGTGATCAAGATGGATAACACTTTTACACTTTTACACAACACTTTTACACAGTGTTGGTAAAGCAAAAGCCATTATTATTATTTATAGAAAGCAAAGAGTGAACAATAACAACAGATTCCCAAAGGAAAACCTCTTACCGTTTCCCAAATTACCCATGTCCGTTGTATGTCACTGGGCAGGCACGCCGTGATTCAGGTCAGATGCTGTGTTCACATCACTGCTGCCTCCGACTACTACCACGCTGCTCAGGGGCCCTGCACAGCTCCCAAGGCTTCTGCTCTGCACCTGGACCTAGCTGGGCCTTGCTGCCAACTGGAAGACCCCCACACACGATCTCCCGAGCCTCTGCAGCTGGACTCTTCTAGGCCTCTGCTGCCGGCTCCCGCCACACTATCTGGGCCTGCAGGGATCTCTTGCCACCGTGCTACCAGACCTCCACTGCTGTCACGGAGGCATGCAGTCCCTGCACAGGGCGCACTCAGGCCTCTCTTACCCTGCACAGGCAAGTGTTACAACTCTTTTAGCTCCAACGGCAAGCCTCCTGCCCAAAAGCGCTCAGCTCTTTGGTGAGACTTTACAGAGCAAGTTAGGTTCCCATTTGACAATTTCCACACATACTGTTCAGTGACATTAGTTATATTTATCACAATGTGTCAACAATCTCTTTGTGTTCAGTTTGTTTCCTTTGTGGTACTCTAGTTTCCCTACCCCCTTATCTTCTCATCTTTGCTTTTGAGTAATTGTTGACCTTTTGGTCTCAAACTGATGGTTTTTAAGTAGGGTAATATCCTTTATTTTTGTTTCACTCTGCTATTTTGCTAAAACGTGATCTTAGGGGATAGGCTCAGTTCTAGATTTAAAGAGTATCTCAGGGTGATAATCTCAGGGAGTCCTCTGTTCTCTACAGTTCCAGTTTGTCTGACTTTTTCTTTTTTTTTTTAAATAAGAATTTGGGTTCTGCTGCATATTTTTCTCACATTCTACCCGGAACCAACTATTGTGACCCCATTCAGAACAGTCAGTGGTGGAAGCCGGGCACCACCTAATTCTTCTGGTCTCAGGGTAGATGAGGTTGTGGCTCCTGTAGACTTGTTTATTCTCTGAGCTTTTGGTTATCTTCTTACTGTTTTTCTCCTGGTAAGTAGAGACCCATAGTTGTATCTTAGATGGCTGCTCACAAGTTTTTAAGACCCCTTACGCTACTTACTTCACTAGGATCCAGATCATGATTTTTGTGAACTATGTTATGCCAATTGACTGAGTTGTCCCATGAGACTAAGGTCTTAAGCCTTCAAACCCAGAAAACCAATGTTGGAAGGTATTTGGTTATACCTGAGGAGTATCTGTATTTGTGTCTTCAATGAAAAATTATGGAAAGCTTCACAAATTTTCATGTCATCCTTGTGCAGGGGCTATGATAATCTTCTCCGTATCGTTCCAATTTTAGTATATGTGCTGCTGAAGCAAGTACTCCAGACTCTCTTCTTGGTGGTAGTGAAGTCTCCCACAATCTCTGTGGGGTTGGCTCTTTTAAGCCTAGCAGGATGGCAAAACTGACCAATCGCCTTGGTAGGCCACAGGCCCCTTATTTGCATAGTCACTGTCCGATCCCTGCAAGGGTTTTACACACCTTATTTGCATAGTCCCAGCCAATCATTTTGTGGGGGTTACAAGACCATGGCTAGAAGGGCCATATAAAAGAAATTCACTGCACTGCAATCTTTCACAAACAACAATAAGAGAGGCACAGCATAAACTCCTAGGGTTCAAAAGTAAGGCCATGTTTTCTGAAGCAAAGAACTACTTACATTCGACAAGCTGTCCCTACCAGGTCACTAGGCCCCAGTAGAGACAGAAGGCCTGATCATGGGACATCACGTGATGTAGCTATACAGTTTGAACTGGTCATGATAAGCTGGACGTTGTCAAACCCACCAAGTCATAAGGTCAATCAGGAACATTCAATGGAAAGGGAACATGCATGATTGGGCCTGAGCAGGTCCAGAAGGCATAAGTAAGTTATATGAATAGGAGGACCTAAATCCCACATTCTCTTTTGGTTACACTGACACTTATCCCTCAGCTTACACCCCTGGCCATGTGGAGATTCAAAGTCAACATTCAGTAGACTACTGAGGAAAAATGGAGCTCTCTCTCATGGATAGTTAGCTCAGTATATATTGGTATAAACCAAAAATAGACTGCTTCTACACTATAGCCTCACTCAGGGATGGGATGGCCCTCAAAGACCAAATAGTGAGAAAAAATCTTCCCAGTAGAAATAATCTCAAACAATACACTTGGTCATCATCTTTGTGCCAATGGAGAAGTAGCCTGAGGTAAGATGAGTGACTTAGCTGGTTTGTCAGGGGCTTGGAAGGAGAAAGATTAAAAGAGCTCAAAAGCATTGAGATGGACTTGTGGGAATGGGGACAAAGTATGTAGATTTCAGGGACCCAGAGGCATTGAACAGCCAGTTGGATAGGATGACTCATGACTCGTTATGTGGAAATCAGCTAGCTTCTGTCCTCAGCCACCCCAGTGCTTACACCATGGTGTTAAAGATGGATGCTGTGCATGGGCTTTTCTTTTTTTTTAACCAAGGCTGACCTTTTTTTTTCCATCAGAAGAGAAAATCTAGTGAAATACTATCATAAGGAAGAGAGAGTTGCTCCCTAGGTAGACTCTGGGTTGTGGGTAATCAGTGTGTCTGAGATGCCAAACTTAATAATTATTTAGAGGTAAACTGAGATATAGAGAGAAAAGAACAAAGGGAGGAGGTGTGTGTGTGTGTATGTGTGCGTGTGTTAGAAAGAAAGGTTGCTGAGGAAAAGTCAGCCCCAGTTTTGCTGCCTCAAGACTTTCTCTCTGGATAGTCATGTCCAGTTTGAGTGCCATAAGGACTCCTTAAATTGCTCAGTTATTTTCTTGAGTTGCTGAACTCTTGAGATGCAACATCATACAAACAATACATGAAAATTGATAGACAAGTCTTCTCAGGATATACACATTATTATGAGTGTGTAAAGTATGTCTCAGAATTCTACCAGCCAGATTGGTACTCTAATCTATTTGTCAAACTTCATTTCCTTAACACCCCAATCAAAACAAGGAGAAACACACAATATCCTAGAGTTTTATTTCTTAGCTGGTGCCATTTCAGTATTCCATCAGGCCAGCAGGTTTAAGGCAAGGAGGTATATGAATGAAACAATGAAACTCATATGTCCACGGTTGCACCTCCTTTGCCTAATATGGGTAATACGGGTTTCTATCCAGATAATTTGGACATTCAGTAATCACAAAACTGGATAGTCTGATATGCTCCGCTTGCTAAATTTTATATAATGGTTCAAAGTATATAGTATATGTTGAGGTAGCCCCAATATCATGGACTGCCTCTTATGTGACTTGATATTGACTGTTGTCTCCGAGCCATCAAAAATTTATTATAATTTTGTGTTTGCTTAGTGAGACCTAGCTTCTTATTTAGTTTGTTTTGATATGCCCAAATAGGCTTCTCATGTGCACTAGTTTGATTTTTGACACCTTTTGACCTCTAATTTCCTGTCACCAGGTAGTTCGTTCTGCAACTAAGTATGTGCACGCCGGAGTCCATTAAAATTTCCTATATGGGATCAGCTCAGGTGTGCAGGCAGTTGATCTCCAAGTGTGTGATGCAGGCTCTCACCCCCAGTCCTAGAGAGGCATGGGTGATTGGTGCAGGCACTGGACTCTGGCTGTGGTAGGGGATCACGCGCTGAGCCAGGCAGGGGGCTGATGGCTGCCCCTGAGATTCTGAAAGAAAAGCGTGTCCCTATTCTCTAGGGTGAATAGGTAGGTGAGTTTTGCAGCCAGGCTAAGAGTACCCCACTAAGTTGGCTGCAAAGACTCTAGGGCACCACTTTTTCTTGAACTCCTGTAGCAGGTGACTAGGCACTTTAGGAGCCACCACCAGTCCTCAAGACCCTGCTGCAGATTGATAAAAGTGGCTACTTGAGGGGCAGGGCTCTTTCGAGGATCACAAATCTGCCTGTTCACAGCTGAAGCAGTTGAAGTTAAACTTCAGATGTTTGCCCTGTTGTACTCTGATAGTGAGGGCTAACACTGTTGAGATGGGTCCCCACAAGTCTATACAGGGGTGTATGGCACTCAGAGTCTGCGGACCCCTGATTTCTATGGCCAGCAAAGGAGCTGTGCTGACCCTGTGTTCCTGGCCTAGGGGAGCCGGCAGCTTATTTGTTCCCTCTCCAAGGCCAGGAGAATGGGTCAGGGTGCCTTTTGGGATCTACTTCTGGCACAGTGGAGTCCAGGTGCAGAGCAGGGAGGGAGGAGGTAAAAGGGAGAGAAGTTTTTCCCAAATGTGGTGCAGAGCGTGGAGGGAGGAGGTAAAAGTGAGAGAGGTTTTTCCCAAATGGGCTTTTTTTAAAAAAAAAAAAAAAAAAACACAGCAAAAGGGTGTGCACAGGTACTTATCCTCGCCTCTTGGGAGCTGCTCTTCACTGGTTTGGAGTGTCCAAGCAGAATCTCTGCTGCTGGGTCTCTCTCTATGTGGAAACTGCTTCTTGAGCACGTGTACAGCACAGCTGTTTGCCTGCTTCACCACGGCCCGGCGTGGCTGTGTCTCTCCAGTATCACCGCCGCAGCTCTAGCGCTCCTCACCTCTTCCAAATGGTCTTCCTCTCCGGTATGACTCAAATGGATTTCTTAACCTTGCCTTGTTCAGGGCTGCCAGATGTTCACATAGAATCAAATCACTTGTTTTTCCAGGTCTTTGTTGTAAGAGGGATATAGGAAGCATCTAACTAGTCTGCCATGTTGACCACGCCTCAAAAGTTTTAATCTATGTATCAAGTGAGTTTCATTTTTTATTGTCTGTAGCATGGGACACAGTGCTTATTACTACTCTACATATGCTAATAAAGGGGTATTAGACACATAAAGAGGACAAAAAAATTCAATATTTATTGTGCAAAATATGCTTCTGTTTTGCAACAATGAGCATGTTTCTAAATTTGTCTTCCAAGAAAGCAACAAAAGGAGTTTATTAGAACATTACATTTATATTTTATCAGAATATTTATGCATTTCTGTGTAGGGAAATTGAACAATTCCTCAAGGAAATGAATTAAATATATATTTAGATAATAAAAATCACATAAATGTGTTTTCCATTTCCCTTCAGTCTGACTTCCTTTTAAGAATTTGATTGATCCTCTTATGTCTCACAAAACAAACTTGCTCTTCAAGAAGTGGTGCTATTGTTACATCAGTTATGTATGTATCTCTAAATATGGGAGTTCAATAATTCCACAAAGAAATAAAAATTGAAGTATGAGCCATTTAAAGCAAAACTGGTGAAAATCAATTTTTTGTTGTGGGAGAGCAACTTAATTTTACATTGATTGTTGAAACAACTAAGTTCACTGACTCATTTTCTTGTTGTAGAATATGTGGAACATTCTTTTTGTAAAAATGTGGTATGTAGTAAAAATCTTACTACCCTACATTCACTAAAAACTTTATAATCCGGTTCATCTCAGTACTATAAAATGGCATATGCCACTTTTGTGTTCAATTATGAATGTAGTCACATTTTAAAAGAAGTTACACCATGGATAGCTAAGACACTCACAGACATATACATATATAACACATATGCTGTTCTAATGTGTGAATAAGCAGAGGAGGGAGAACTCGGATTATCAGTGTTTAGGGCCCTCACATGCCTTCATCTGGGCCTGTTTACGACACACACACACACACAGAATGCTAGAGGTTGCAGGAGGCCAAAGATAGTTGACCACAAAAGTAGCAGCCTTCCAAATTATTAAATATTGACCAAAATTTCAAAAATAAAGGATATTTCTTTGTTAATAACAACGGACAAAGAAAAAGACTATCAGGAACACCGTTTTCTAGATCTCTAACATTTGAATTTTTCTACTACTCTTATACTTACGTGCTTCAAAAATGCTGCAAGAATGCAAATCTACTAAACTGTGTTACATCCAGGAAACTACAAACACCTGGGTCATTCTTAAGAGAATTACAATGTGGGCGTTGAAATGATTATATACAGCAGCTGCCAAAAACTCTCCTCCAAAACATTGGTACTGACTTACCAATGTGGAAGAAGCTGTTACTTATAATCTATCTGTATTCTCCTGCGATACAGCACTCAATTAGAAATCGTGTCCTGCATGTTTTTATTGTGGTAAACATATATGTAACAAAACATTTTCCATATGGACAATTCAGTAACATTACTTGTATTTATTGTGTTGTTCAACCATCACTGTTATCCTTTTCCAAATTTTTCCATCACCCCTAACAGAAGCTCAGTGTTTCCTAAGCAATGAGTTTCCGGTTTCCCCTCGCACCTGCCCGCCCCTGGTAACCACTAAAAAACTTTGGCCGGTATACACTCACTTTCTGTACTTTAATCAGGCCATACCATATCCATCAGTT